TTTTACAGGGATCTCCCTGAAAGATTTGGGCAGATTACAAACCTCATCGGGCTTAGGCTGAGGTTTCCTCAACTTATGAAAAAAAGTCTGTTTGATAGTTCAGCCAGGCTGGCTTTGATTCCTGGCAATATTAAACTTTTACTTGAAAACATTAAAAACATACAATTCTCTGTGAAGCAACTTCTGTTAAAACACACACTGGTCTTCATTACAAAAAAATACTGTACCTCTACTGCATCTGCTGCCTTGACATTTTGGAGGATGAATTTTACTACTACAGGCAAATCTTCCAGTTTTACAGATGGCACAATGGTCATGGCAGACTTTCGCACCTGAGGAAAGAGCAACACTCCATCAGCCAGAAGACTATTGTGCACAGATAAATAGTTAAGGTAGTGGGAAGGAATCCTTGGAGACTTATAGTCCAGCCTTCTTTTCAGAGCAGGAGTATTGGCAATATTAGATCGGATTCACCTTGGCTTTGCTAAGTCTTGAAGATATCCAAGGATGGAGGAAATCTCCAATCCCTGCCACCTCTTTGATGCAGGATGCTGCAGGCCCTAACACGGTTTTCCAAATGTCCAACCTGAACCTCCTATTATGGCCACTGCCCCTTATCACTCTTCACCAAAAAGAGCTTGGCTTTCAAAAAGGAAAAGCATGGTGAATGTGTATGTTACGCAGCACCAGCCTTTTGGGATTATGTAAAACACAATTTAATGCACTCAAATGAACCAATTCCATTTCACTCATAACAAGCTCAACTCCAAGAAGTGCAGCAATGCAACATGTCCAAAAGACACAAGGCATATCATCATCTCTTCCCCTGTATCAGCATTCTGCAGAGAAAACCTATTTAATTATTCATTCACCAATCTGCCTTTCCTTAGAATATAACAGTCTAATCTGGTCACTGTAGTTCAAAAAGATGAAATATTGACAATAAATAGGTTTAAGATAGGCTGTAAAAATTTACTGCAGCAGGACAAAGTGCTTCTGCATTTGCCAAAACAGCTGTGATTGAAATTTCTGAATGCATACTGTAGCAGGCAGAAAACTCTTTGCTCTTCACTGATCCCCTCATACATGTTTCAAAAACCAGCTTTAGCTTCTGACCTCTTTCCAACTTCAGGAGCTCAGGACATTTGAAGGCCTACATGAGTCAGGTTTAGCAAAGTATTTGAAATGAAGAAACAGTTTCCAGCTCTCTGCTGCTAAGCAGGGGTTGGGGTCTGCTGAAGTGCTCAGTAAAAAGCTCTCACCTCAGCCACAAGTTCTGCATCAAGATCCAGACGAGAAAGAGCATCCAGGATTGGAACTGTCAGCCGTCTGCCCTGCTTCAGCAAGCAGCTGATACACATGGAAAACAAAACAAACGGTCCTCTTAACAAAACCAATAATGTATCTTTAGTGTATTGTATGATTCCAGTAGTTTTTGTGGTCACTGCAAGGAAATCGCTGAACTGACAATATATGCCACTGGCATTATGGAAAACTCGTTCCCTAAATTATTACTTCCCATGTAAGAACTGCACATGTCTTTAACAGCCTCATGGACTTTCCCAAAATTCATCTAATCATTCTTGGCTGACATCTCAGTTTCTTATAAACTTTCCCTAGCAAGAAGTTCTACTTAAACTGTATTAGTTGAAAAACACATCACAAAACATTAGGTTCCTGGTAATTCTATTTATGCTCTCTAATTCATTACAACGGAAGAAGTGAGTACTTAACCAGATTCTACCTGTGCTGCATCCAGATAATCAAGAGTTTAATAATTGTTTAGATAAAAGCAGTTTTGGAGCATTGTCTAAATGCAATGTGTTTGGCTGGATTGCCTGTGCTCTCTTTAAGAGCGTAACAGCCTCAATAGAATGTCCCAAGGCAGTGCTAGGTATCCCCAAATGTTGTAGTTAACAGGAACTGTTAACTGCTGTCCTAACACTTCAACCCCAGAGCAACCTGCATTAATGCAACTTGTCCTTTGCTGCTAAGTGCAAGGAGGAAAATAACAAAACAAAACAAGCCCTCCCAACCAAATCATCTGTACCTGAGCTCTCTGGCAACCTCACTTTGCTGGGAATCCTCCAGGATCTCAGGTAAACTGGTGATAATATCATGCTGGATTGGTACTGGAGAGACACTAACCATCTGCATTAACTTCTTGACCAGATCCTGCAAAGAAGAGCACTGGTGAAATGCAAAAGTCTCATCTTGAGCAAGCATAACATCAACAAAACAACAATATTATGCATCTCAGGTCTGCCTGGATTTACGTCAACTGTCCCGCTGAAGTAATGAAGTACAGCATAGACTTTTGTGGAACAATGGTATTTTACAGGTGGGATATAATGATCTTGGCAAGCAAAGGAAACTGGGAAACAAAAAGCTTCCCCGTGCTTAGTACTCCAGCAGAGAGTAACCACAGAGACCAACTAACTTAGGGAAAGAAGGAAAAGAATCACCAGAGCAGGAACAGAAAATTTATCATCACCACATGCTTGCAAATATCCAGGAATTTGTTAAAATTAAAAAAGAGGGGATTGTAACTTCCTGTCACCAACAGCTTTAAAACGAGGTTAACCATGTAAATACACATGCACAGATATAAATTTATGTAAAAGAAGACTTAGAGCAAGAAAAGAAGAAAAACAGTAAAAGAAATTCAGAGGTCACTCAAGGCCGTCATAACAAAACAGAAAAAAATTAAATCTCTCCTTCAGCATGTGAATACAAAACCATCAACTCTCATTAGCACAATAATTCATCTCATCCCACCTGAGAGGCATTCCAGAAGTTGTTTGGCAAAAGCATCCGTGTGATTGTACCTCTGGTACCCACCTGGCTGTCAAGGAGCTTGTCAAGCCACTTGAACTGATTGACGATGAGCCGGGGGAAATTTGTTCCAAAGGTGCCCACACTGAAACAGCAGAAAATGACACACAGCTGAGTCAGACTTACAGACTCAAAAGCTTTGTTGCTGGTGAGCAAGACCAACTAACCCCATTCTTAACTGGTCATTAATACATAGAAAAAACTTCAGTCTTCTTAGTTTGATAGGAGACAAGTGTAACAACATCAATTTTTCAGAATTCCCAAAGGATTCACAGCACAATTAACATCTTATCATTTTTACATTTAAGATCCTTTAGAATTTTTGGGTGAAAACAGTTCAGACCTTGTGAGTGTCTATGTTAAGCTTTCCTCAAACAAGATTATGATTTCAGTCTGAGACACTCCATAGTCCCTCTGCTGAAATAATTCCTAAGCTTGTGTCAGTAGCTGCAAAAAGCACAATCAATCTAAGCACAACGTTTGTATTTCAGCCTCCAGAAACCTATCTTCTACTTTATGCACCCACAAATTTAAGGCCATGGTACCTCACAGATAATTTTACACAGGTGCGAAGGAAAAAACCCACAGGTGTGAAGGAAAAATCAGTGCAAATTGCCATTCAGGTAAATTTGAAGTAACAGTTAAAGTCAAACAGCTGATGATTGTCCAAAAGAAATTTCATTTCAAGGCAGAGAAAAGCCAGTTTATACTCACATGTCAAAAAAGAATTCAGGAATCTTTTCCAATAACAGCGTTATGACAGCAGGCTAAAAGAAAGGCAAAAAGACAGTGTTAGGGTGATTTACTGGTTGTGCTGTGGTATTGCCCCCAAAACTGACCCTTCACAAAAGATGAAATATACACAGTGAATAAAATACTCAAAAGGATCAATAAAAGTATTTCCTGTATAAGAAACCTCTTGTCTAATGCCAGAAAGAAGGCACACAGCCTGAGAAGTGAAAACCACCAGTGGAGAGGTGCCAGAATCGGTGCATTTAGGCAGGATGTACAATTCCTCTGGGCCAACAAACCTCTTTCTCATACCCAGCTGAGTTGTTTTTCACCACACAGAAAATAAAGCATCAACTTTAGATAAGTTTAAAAACAGTGCTCAGCTCTACCACTTAAAAAAAAAAAAAAACACATTCTCCTCAGTGGAAGTGGTTATATCTCATCAGAATTTCCCATGATTGATCCAAACCATCACCTCTCATTCTGCCCCTGTTCACCTTTAAGAGGAGTCTGGCTCTGTGTTCCCCACACCTTGCAACCAGATTTTTGAAGACCACAGAATTTCTCCTAATCTTCTCTTAAAACTGAACAAACCCAGTTCCCTCTGCCTCTGCTTGTCTGCCACGTGCCTCAGACTGAGCATCTTTGTGTCCCTACAGAAACAACAAACTGGATATTATTCCAGAAGGAGCCTCACCTGCCTCAAAACCAGTTCTATTAATCCCTTACTTACATAAGCAAAACATTCCCCACAATCAAAACCACTGTAAAGAACAAGCTAAAGTGCCCATACCTGTAAGATCTTAATCCCAAGAAGCAGTTTAATGAGGCTTTCGCAATATGAGTGCACCAGATTCCTGCAAGGTGAAAGATTCCACCACAGTTTTGTCAAAAACATGTTAGGAGAACAGGCTGTAGCTCTCTCCATGACTATTTTTTTTAAAAACTACACACAATAACTTAAGGAAACACATGGTAATCATAGACACACACAAAAGAGATTTAAAATCACACTTCAGCTCTGAACCACCTCACTCTCTACAACACTAGAAATGTGAAAGTCTGTGGTTAAGCTGTATCTCCTAGAAAAAAAGTCTCAAAAAGGAATTGACATTCGCCAGCCCTGTGAATTTTTTTCACAATATTTGGTTCTTGCATAAAAGGCCATGGAGTCCARTGTGTGCCATGGGCAGACAAAAAAWTCTATGACTTAACATTCTARACTCACAGCTATTAAACAGCAATGTACTACACCAGCCATCCTGCCTTGTGGTGCAGCACTGGAGCCTTTCCCTCCACTCTGGTCAGCGTTACAGGACATTACTAGAGACTGGCTGACTGAAGGGGAAGGCAAAATAGATTTTCTGTACCTTGACCCTTCAGTCCGTACAGGAGTGCACGGCAAGAGACAGTTCTTGAACTGGTTCCTATCCTTGATGTGAGATTCCAGGCCACTGATGAACTGCTTCACAACCTGCAAAGCAGAGAGAAGTTATCAGCCCTGAAGGAGCACCCCAGTCTACTGCTATCCTTCAGGATGCATTCTGCAAGCAGATGATAGGAACCAGGAAAAGCTAACCAAGGAACTGCAGACAGAAACTGTTATGGAAGGAATGCTGGATAATACATGAATGCTAGTCTAGACCATTTCCAAAAGCAAACACTGATTGTTCTACTATAAAGCAAATGTCTCACATTTTGCTTTGATTTAAAAAGGCTTTAAAGAGGCTTTGCTTCTCTTCCTCTTCAGCTGAGCCAGCAACATTTAATGTGACAAGAGTGGCACCCAAAAAACATTTCTATTCAAATCACTTGCCTCAGGACTTTCACCCTGGACTTGCTGATTGGAGAGCAGCAATTAGTCATTAGCTGATTGGAGAGGAACACCACATCAGGGCAATTTAAATGCTGATAGCTCCCACCCAACACAAAACCAAAACCAGCTTCCACCAGAAACCCTGAAAGTGATTTTTCTCCTGAAAGAGTCTTTGTCTGTTGAATAATATTGGCAATGAAAATTACTTTGATAGGGCATTGTCAGAAGAACAGTGAGACCAAAAGGCTAGAACAGCAACACTGAGAGAATCGGAAAATTCTGAACACATTAGTACAAGGCAAGTTACTAAGTGGCACATTTTGTATGGGACTAGCAGGGATGGGCAGCTGCATTTTCATCTCTTGCTACTTAGCAAACAGCTTTAAATGTGGCTCCTGCCAAAGTTACTTACACCTGGGTAAGTAGGGTGCTTCTCCAGGGCCAGGCAGAGCTTCTTCTGGAAAGCCATTTGATCAACAGCTAAGGAGAAAGTTTAAAAAGAAAACAAAGAACCACACATGTTCTATCCACACAACATCACAACAGCTACACCAAGTAAAAGCTCTCAAGCCCATCCACCAATATTTCTGCATTTGCTCGATTGAGAACTCCAGTTAGCAAAAGTCTGAGAGGAATCAGCACTTGTGCTTTTTCTCAGTCAGGGCTGAGAGCAGCTGATAGCATTGAAAAGGCTGAACATAGGAGGTCTTGAAGGCCTTGTCTGAGCTGAAAGGCAACAATGACATGGCTTTTTCCTGTTTCAGAGTTCCTGCCTCCATAATTCGATACTGTAATCACAGGTGCCATCTAATATTTTTCCATATACCTCCAATAATCTTTCAGAAGTCTTGAGACTTAGCAGATATACACACAAAGAGCTGGTATGAGTTTAGGTGATGTACTAAATTCAGCAGGAACAAAAGGTATATGACAAATAAGAGGCCAGATAAAGGTTTGTTTGAATTTTGGAACAAGCTGACTGAAGCATTTTTGTCCTGCCAGTGAAACATATCTTCACTTTGTACCAGCCATCTTTGCAGGTTTTGCAGGTTTTCAGCTAAATGCAGAAAGAGCAAGTGTTCAACTCCTACCTATTTCATTCTGTCCCTCCCCAGCTTTCAGCACAATTCCTGCTGTCCTAAGGAGCTCTTCAAAGACTCCCTCATTCTCCAATCCACAGAGGGCAGAGGCATTTTCCTTATCAGAAAGCCGTGACTTCTTAATTTCTGAGAAAACAAGACATGCTCCATCAAATATATAAAAAAATCAAGTCATTAGCAATCAGCATTATCAAAACCCCTTGGAGCTGTTGCCTCTATCAATGATTCTCCACCCCAGTAAGATGATACCCAAGCACCTACTTGGCAAATCTGCCTTGCAGCTCTCTCCAGAATCATCAACTTTTGACAATTTCCTTTTTGAAACCATGGTAACAAAACCTTTGTTGTTGCCTATAAAAATGCAAGAAAAAGACAAGTGTTTTATTAATCTCTTTAAGCAAATCTAGAAGGTATTAGTAAATAGCAAAAGGGAATACAACAGAAATTGAGAGTGCTCAAAGAAAGACAGATTGCCTGGGTAACCAATATCACACCACATTTTTCTGCTGTGCACGATGAAATTTTAGAGCTTGTCATTTTCAACTAGCACAATACATCACTTTTGCTAAAATTTAGTTCCTCATAAAACAAGGCTTGGCCTTTCATTCAGACCCAGGCAAGATGAAGTGAACAACTACAAGGGCTCAGACTGCACCCACTGATCTAAGCTCAAGACCTTCTCCACATGCTTGGACAAAGGATTCACAGATGAGTGCTCATAAACCCAACCACACTAACTGACCCTGTTCATGTCCCTAACCAGGTATCGTGGCAAATGATCTCTCTCAGCACAAATCTACATCTAACCCATCCTCTTTTGGGGGCTGGTGATGATTAAAAAGAAAAAAAATAAATCTTTACTCACCTTTAAAACTTACAGGTTATTAAAAAAATATGTATGAATACCTCACACTAAATGCCAACTGTTTGGCAAAGGCTAGTAAAATGAGTTCTTAAAATATCAGTATGGAAATAGAATAATTAAAAATCAAAAGTGCAATAAGCCTTTCACAGCTGTTTTAGATATATAAACATCTCAAAGACAGGTGCCAAGAGGATGGTGCCAGACTCCCTTCAGTGGTGCGCAAAGATAAGGAGCAATGGCCAAAACTAAACCCACCAGAAGTTTCACCTCAATTTGACAAAAAAATTCTTTAGGTTGTGGATGGCAGAGCACTGGAACAGCTGCCCAGGRATRTYGTGGAGTCTCCCTCTCTGCAGACATTCCAAATCCACCTGGACCCKKTCCTGCGTCACCTGCTCTRGGTGACCCTTTTTTGGCAGAGRGGTTGAACTGGATCATCTCGGTGGTTCCTTCCAACCCTAACAAAGCTGTGATTCTGTTCTGGCTCCGAGGCACAGCCTGACAGCCCAGACAGGCGTGCTGTGCCACCACCGGAGAGCCCTTCTCTCATCGTGCCTACAGCCAAAGGCGTCCGCTTCACCTTCCCTCAGCTCAGCACACCTGCACCGGAGCCCACCTGCACCGGAGCTGAGCCGAGCCCACCTCTTGTTCTCTCCCGTCCCCTCCGGGCAGGGCACAGCAGGCCAGGATAGGACAGGGCAAGACAGGACGCCCAGCTGTCCCCTCACGCCTCTCCCACCCCGCTGTCCCCTCATCGTCCCGCTGTCCCCTCACGCCTCTCCGGTCCCGCTGTCCCCTCACCGTCCCGCTGTCCCCTCACCGTCCCGCTGTCCCCTCACCGTCCCGCTGTCCCCTCACGCCTCTCCCGCCGCTCGCGCTCAAGTTTCCCGCCAGCGGCGCGCGCTGACGTCATTCCGCTAGCGGCGGAAGGGCGGTCCCGGAAGCGGAAGCGGAAGCGGGGCGTGCGGCGGCGGCCCGGTGTCGGCCGGAGCCGGGCCCGAGGCGGCACCGCCGCGATGAGCGAGCCCGAGCTGCTGCTGGACTCCAACATCCGGCTATGGGTGGTGCTGCCCATCGTCTTCATCACCTTCTTCGTGGGCATGATCCGGCACTACGTGTCCATCCTGCTGCAGAGCGACAAGCGCCTCACGCAGGAGCAGGTGTCCGACAGGTCAGGGCCCGCCTCGCCCCCGCCCGCCCCCCGCTTCCCCCGGTCCGGCCCGCTAACGCCACGTGTTTCTCTTCCAGCCAAGTCCTGATCCGGAGCAGAGTCCTTCGGGAAAATGGAAAATACATTCCAAAGCAGGTAGGGAGCTGCGCTGTGGGGCTTTACAAAGAGGATGACTGTGAAAGGAGCACAAAGCGCGGGGCTGTGCGGGCAGGAGGAACAGCGCCCACAAGGGCCCGCGGGCTGGGACACTGCCGGGTCTGCCCTGGGCGAGGGCACTGTCCAGGAGGGCAGATTCTTAGGAATCCTGAACACGGGACCGATGTATGTCTTTTCTCTGACATTAATGTTAGCTTGGTGTTTTAACTGCATGCTGACATGAGGTGTGCCTCCAATATCTGTGTATTTAATATCTACCAGCAAGCATGCAGGGATGTAATACAAGCTTGGGATAACGAGGTGGTCGTACAATGTCAGCTGAAATGTTTACTAAACTACAAATCCATCGCTTATGTTGGCTCTGTTGGTACCAAATGTGTATTTTTTAAGTCCAGAGGTCAGCTGGGAGAGTGAAAATGTCCCATGTATCAATATTGGTGCTCAACCAGCACAAAGAATTGACACAAAGCACTAAAAGCTCTTTTATTTTTTTTATGGGCTTTTCTTCAGAGATTTATTATAATTATTTTAAGAATTTCAAAAAGCCAGAGGTCTGGTACTTTGGATGCAGAGGAATGTGGGGAGCTTTAAGATACATGGGCAGTGAGGTGTCAGTCCAAAAAAGGTGTGTTGCAAAAGAACTCATAAAATGTCTGAATGTCTGAGCAAGAACTAATGCTTCTGTCCTTTTACTTCTTATGGTGTTGGCATTGCCTTTTTCTGTTTTCAGTCTTTCCTGTCCCGGAAATATTTTTTTAATAACCCCGAGGATGGATTTTTTAAGAAAACAAAAAGAAAGGTAGTGCCTCCTTCACCAATGACAGGTATGTTCAGGTACCATAACTGCAGCTATAGCCATAACTGCAGGTAGAAAAAGCTGTCACTGTCTGCCGAGAGTGGAAATGAATCAGCTTTGCAGGGAGTTGAGAGAGTGTGAGGAAGGGGGTGGGACTCTTCAGCTTGTATTGGGCACAGGGGGAGTGAGATACCCCTCTTGAGTAACAAGACATTGGGTCACTCCATGTTGCTCAACTTCAGCCTTGAGCTGCTTGCAGCATCTCATGAGACCTGACCTCCTCAGGGTAGCCAGGAGTGGGCAGTCCTGCTCTCAACTCATCTCCTTTTGCCAGTGTTTTGCTCCAGCTCCTGCAGGATCCTCTCCAATTTAATTTAACTAATGTACATAACAAAATAGTAATTTGTTCTCCTTCTACTCAGATCAGCTCATAGAGGGGTCAGGCAAGTTCAGAGATATGGAGCAAAGGATGGGGTCAGGCAGCACAAAACACAACACCCCTGTGGCAGCAGCCACCACCACTCTGGCTGCTTGTCTCATTTTGCAAAGTATTGTCAGCAATGGAAAATCATAGATACTGGGATAGGACTGTTGTCTCATGCARTTTCTTAATTAGCTGATGTGTAATGACTTGTTGCCCTTTATTGTGATATGCTGCTGCTTCACATCCAATCTATGGTTTGCAGATCCTACCATGTTGACAGATATGATGAAAGGGAATGTAACCAATGTTCTGCCTATGATCCTCATTGGTGGTTGGATCAACATGACATTTTCAGGATTTGTCACAAGTAAGTGTCTGGACACGAGTCTGGCTGTGTTTGTGAAGATGACCTTCAGGGTCTGGGCTGCATCAGAGATTTGCTCCTCAACCTGACAGCAGTCAGTTAGAAGTAACATAAATTTGGGTTGTGGCACTGCTGCTCTTCACTCCATGAGCTGCATAGATTTGCTTCTCCCATTGCATGGGGGGAAATTGTTTCCAGAGTATTGAACATGGTCTCAGAGAAAATAGCTCATCAGGAACAACTGTAGTGACAAAACCAGTATTTTAATAAAACTTCAGGTTGATACAGTGGATTTTCCTCTGCACCTGTCCAGGGAGTTGGTTACTGTGTAATTTGGAGTGTACACATAAAAATATACTTAAATTCATAGTTATGGGTTTTTTTTTTCTAGACTCTTTATGTGATAACTACCTCTTCAACAGGAACCATTTTCCTCCACGGTCACTTAAGTAATACCTGTGGGGGTTAGATCATCTGACAAAGTTTCAGAAAGTCTTTTCATATTAAAATTAATACAGAACTGCAGCTTTTTCCAAAATTTAAGTTAACTGGTTGTTGTACACATTGCACTCAGACTACATTAGATGTAATAAAAGATCTACCTGCTCACTTTGCCATGTGCTTTACAGTCATGCAGTGTCACTGTGTGAAACTGGGCTTTTTTTTCTTTATCCTGCAGCAAAGGTCCCATTTCCTCTGACGCTGCGTTTTAAGCCTATGTTGCAGCAGGGAATTGAGCTGCTCACTTTAGATGCATCCTGGTAAGCCCCTGTTCTCAGCAAGCAAGGTTCAATTCCCACTTGGAAAATGTTGAATGTGTTAATAACCCCTGGATGATCTCTGTGTGCTGCTGGAATGAGGTCATGAGCCAGCTTTGAACTGACAGCAGCTGTGCTTGTTCTGATTTGTCAGGGTGAGCTCTGCTTCATGGTACTTCTTGAATGTGTTTGGACTCAGAAGCATTTATACTCTCATCCTGGGCCAAGATAACGGTAAGCCACTTGTCATTTCTGGGAACTGGCKTCTCYTTCCATGGGATGTCTTCTGAGGGAWGCTGGGGRRAAGATTTCTACATTTCCAWCCCAAAATCTCTTGARTGCCTCTCTCATTTCTGTGAGGTTACTTATTCTCCATAGGCCAGGCTTGACATCACCTGCAGCAAGTACCCAAATCTTTTGCACCAGCCACTGGCTCATAAACTTCCATGGCTGTTTGTCCATGCTTTCTTTCCCATCAAATCAGTGTGCCGAAGTTTTGTGCTAGGAACTGTTTTATTTCTAGCAAGTATTGGTTTTAAGGCAAACTGCAAAGATTTCTTAATGTTAGTTGAGGGGCAAATTCTTAATATTAGATGAGGGGAATATACAAAACTCTATTTTCCTCCATTTTTCTGCATATTTTATGTAAATCTGGCGAAGATGTAGCAGATGGGAGCAAGATGTCTTGGGAGGACTCCTGGTATTGCATTCTGGGTGTTGCTGCAATGTTCCCATCTATAGCCAAAAACCAGCCCAATGGCACCATGCCCCAGGGAATGCTCTTTAAKRAACTCAACCTCTCATTTCTCATTTRTAGCTGCAGATCAGTCCAGGGTGATGCAAGAACAAATGACAGGGGCAGCAATGGCCATGCCAGCAGACACTAACAAAGCATTCAAGGTACAGTATTTCCACCTGCATTTCTGCTTATGTGAGCTTGCAGTCATAGGCTGTGTGTAACTCGTTCTCTCTCTGTGACAAGTAAGGGAATTGCTCTGGATTCCTGTTYCTAAAATTAGAGCTGACAGCTTAYRAAGGCTGTGGGAGTTGCTCTGGGTYTGKCWGAGCCYGAATACCCTGAAGTAAACCTGACAGATCACTCTTGCCTGGTACAAAGGCTGAATTTATGTCCCATCCTCTGCTTTTGCTGAGGAATTTTTTTTTTTTACCTTAAGTTCTAAAGTAGAAGCTGGCTCCCCAAAAGTTGCATTAATAGTGCAGCTGAGCACAAGTCCAGCAGGTACCTGATGGAACTTGGGTAAGAAAATCAAGTMAGCAAGTTGAGCAGAAAATCGATATGGATTTGACTGTCGAAGTTCTCCTAAAGCATTTTCCATTAACACTTACTTGTTAGATTGCCTCTGTCTTTCACAGCCCAGGTTTATGCATGAAGGGACAGTCCTGGTTTCTGTTTTTGTGTACTGTAGAAGAGGTTTAGCCATGCATAACCTGCTGCCTGGAAAGTTGGGATGGTCTGCTCCTGGAGTGTCTTTTCAGTAACCTCCCTGGTCAAAAAAATCCCACACCACCCAGGCAGAGGCTCAGCCAGGGAGAGGTTGGCTGCAGGTGGCAGTGGCTGTTCTGTCACAGTCAGCACYGAGGTGCAATTCCAGCCAGTACTGACTTCCCTTCTACCCAGTATTGACTCCACAACACTTCTACCATTCAGCCTTGTAAGGCTAAATGTGTACCTAAACCCACTACAAGTTCCAGCAGAAACAAAAGGGAAAAAGCCCTTATTGCAGAAGTGTTCTGGCCAAGAAATACAAATCTCTTGCTGGGCATCATGTGACATGGTTTTTTTTGCAGGCTTTGTGTACAAGTCTGTGATAATGTGTAAAATTTTTTGCCACTTACCTGTTGTTATCAAGTAACTGAACTGAAGAACTAACTCAGTAAAAAGCACCTGACCCACTACAACAGAGCCAGCTGTTAGAGAAGCAATGGAGTATTCCAGAAGGTTATGGGTTGCAGAAAGTAGATAATGTATTTTTTCTAATTTCTGTGATGTATCTGTATTGATCAACTAATATCTAATTAAGCATAAACCACTCATTTCAGAGAGTTGACATGATTGGCAAGTTTTTAATAGAAATTGGTGTTTGTTGCAGTTTTTAAAGCAAGCAGTGCTTTGTGTARTTTTTGTCTAACTAATCCTGTGTTGCCTTCCCTTCCCTACTTCTGTTCACTGCCAATGCAGACGGAATGGGAAGCCTTAGAATTGACAGATCATCAGTGGGCCTTAGAAGATGTAGAAGAAGAGCTCATGGCAAAAGACCTCCATTTTGAAGGCATGTTTAAGGAAGAACTTCAGACCTCCATCTTCTGAATTTGAGAGTATGCTTTTGTCTCTTCTTGTAAAAGTTATTTGAAAAGAAATCTGTTATCTAAACCTATATAATGTATTTTAGCAAGGCTGAGAATAAAACAAAAACATCATGTTCAGAACTGCAGTGCCCTCACTTTCATTTGAGCCCAAGGACACACACACTCTTTCCCCATTAATTTAATCCTTCCCAAGTCCATTTGTAAGCACCTGAGTGCCCACATAGCCCCTCCTGCCTCTCACACAGCAGGCTGTTGTCCAGGGGTGTCTGGCTGTTACTGGGCCAGGTGGGGATAATAAATGCTTTAAGCTACCCACCTGACTATTTTGTAYGGTAGAGAACAGGGAGCAACTGTTCCTGGCTTGTCCTCCTGCAGGAGCTCCTCAGACAACCCCAGGGAGAACAGTCCCAGTGTGGGGAAATGCTTCTTGAACAGAAGCTCTTCCATACTCTATGGCTGTTATTTCCCCCCCCTTCTTTATTCTGAGCACCTTTTTMTCAAGGGGAAACCACATCCTCTTCAAAGCAGGAGCTGAGCCAGGACTGTGACAGAACCTGTTTTCTATTCTCACCAAATCATCTTCCCATGAAYAGGAAAGCTGCCCCTTTGTTTTCCCTTCTTCCCACGATGAGTTTCACAGCATGCTTTGGAGGTCAGCCCTTCACAGCAAAGCTCTACACTGCTCTACACTAAGGCTCATTAACCCTCAGGAGCCCAAGCTGAGATCAAGCTCCTCTGCTCATACACTGTAATTAACGCATGAAGACTTCAAACCTTCTCACAAGGACTTCACAGCCCACCTTGCCCTGCAAGATTGGGACAATCTCACACACAAGCCCTTTACATTTCCTCAGTTTTTCCAGCCTGCTTTCACAAATGTGTTCAGCTTGCCTTGAGGAAATTACAGAGACTGCAGGACAGCTGTCTCAGTGGCACAGTCACAGGCAGCTCTGATATYCCCAGAGAAAATGGACAGAAGGAAGACCAGTACCTCTCAGGGATCTGCAGAGGAAGAGGAAGGATGAAACCATAGCTGAGGCTGCCCAGTGCCACAAAAAAAGCAAGGACAGCTTTGCTAGAGCACCAGGTACCAGTAACCCAGCTCTGCAGGTGAGAAATGGCAACCCTGGAGCAAACAACCCTCAGCTGTGCAGAGCTGTGCTTTCAACAGCTCATTTTCTCCCAGATCCCCACTGGCTCTGCAGGAGCCCTTCCCCCAGCCCAAGTTACTCCTGGAGCACCAGGCATCCCCACAACCAGCAGCCTTAGGCCACATAACGAAAGCTGAAAACAGAACAAAACCCAGTTTCAGTGCAAACCACTCTTTAATTTTCCTCTTTGTACAACAGAGCCAGCCACTTACAAAGTGCTAGTCTAAAGAACAGTCTGGTATTACAGCACACACACACCAGCTGAAGCCCAGCAGCTCAGAGGCAGAGAAAGCAGAGCTGGGCCACTTGTTCTGCAGTACAACAGAGTCTGTTCAGCATCTGAGATTGAGCCCCACAAATGCATWTCTCAGTGTCAGCACAGGTAGGGAGGCGAGGAGGAGAACAAAGGCTATTTCAGATTGATTTCTCTTTTAAAAAAAGTCTTTTACTGCTCTCCCTTTCCCCTATTCCCCATTTTGGAATGCCCACGTGACTTACTTTCAGGGTAAAACAAACAAAAAAATGCTGATTAAGAGTAATTTCAGTGCAGTGCTACAGCTTAAAAATTGCCTTTTGCATGCTCCCCTCAGTAATAAGGAAAAAAAAGTTACAATATTAAGAGTTGCAAAAATAAAAATAGAACAGCAGAAGCAACTAAGCAATTGTGACCTCAAAATTCAAATTTTAATGCTTTAAAAGCAAAATTCCACAAAGGAGAATCATACCAGTAGCATGCTGGCTAGAGACAATGCGCCCTCCTCCTCTCCATCACCTTCCAYTGCCATGGCAAAGGGCTGCCTGGTACCCTCCCAGGGTGCAGGGACAGGCACACTACAGTTTCCTACAGGACCTGTTGCCTGGAGCTGCAGAAAGGTGGAGCTGAGCTGGCAAGTTTGGAGTTAAATGGATGAGTGCTGCTGACCACAAGAGAAGGTGATGGTCAGCACTGAAGCCACAGTGGCTGCAAGCACATATTCCAGGGGGAGCAAAAAGCAGTGACGGCCGGTCTCAGCCTTTCATTCTGCCAACACATTTGGATCCCAGAAAGAAAAACCCTCCTGTTTGGTTCACTACCTTGACCTAGATGTTTCCCTAAAAATACAGGCTAAGGCTATTGATTTTTTTCCCCATTTCTCAAATGGAAGACCAGTTCTTCACTGAGACTCACAGGAGTCTGTTTTCAAGAAGAAAGCTGGACTCGAGTCATAACAGCAACACAGACAGTAAAGAAGGACAGAGGGAAGAATATTTGCCAGTTGTGACAAAAGGATGGAGCAGAACCATTGAACAGCAGAGGCAAACAGGATCTGAGAAAGGACCATCACACCTGCCCCACAGAGGGTGATCAGGTGGGGAGAAAAATGGCAGCACTCAAGGGAGGAGGAGGGCTGAAAGAGCAGTCCAAAAAAACCAAGAGAAAAGGCTGAAAACTCAACACAGTCCTTTGCATTGGGCTGTCACTCTTACATGTGACAGCTCTGAGGACACAGTGCTGAGCTTGGCTGGAGACATAAAKGAGCAAAAAGGATAAAAATGCTGTYACTGCACAAATCATAGGAGAAATGATGGCAGCAGAAAATTGCTTACAGAGCAGTCTGGAAGTGGGTGGTATAGGAGATGGAAAGGACAAGAAATCATCAATGTTATGGATGGTATTTCCTCTGCAGAAGAACAGGTGGCAGAGCAGCTGTATCCTGCATCTCTGTGGGGAYCAGCCTGCACATATGCTACACCATAGGCAGGTATGATTCACTTCTGGCCAAGATTCCTGCATCACTGGATTCAGTGTTCACATTAAGAACGCTGAATCAAAAAGGCTCAGGAGAACCTCAAATGCATCAGTGAAAAGGATGTAAGCAAGAGAAACGTTTGCTGCTTTGCCAGGGGACCAAGGTACAATGGGCAGAGACTGCAACAGACCAGATGTACAAAGATTTGAACCGAGCTCCAGAAAGGGTGCAGGAGGCCTCCCTGACACAGGCAGGGCCCAACAGCAACACCAGAGAGTTGGCAGGAAGCCCCAATGCCGATTCACAGAATCGTACCCAGCATTCTCCTCCATGGGCCCCTGCAAGGCTCAGCTATGCCTGGCCTCTGGCCCAGGCTGTCCTCTCCCAAACCCCAGCTACAACCCTCAGCCCAACAACCACAGCCCCAACCCCTGCCTCTAGCCACACAGCTCAGCCAGATTTTAAAAAGAACTTTATTGAAGCTCCAATATATATTATTTTTGGCCTCTAAATACCCAAATGTCAGCACCTATTCCTGGCTCTTCAGTGCTATTCTGCAACCCTCAACACTGAATCTTTCAGTGCCTGATTTTCTGCTTAACCCCTACAGAAGGAAGAAATTTTTTCAGGTGCCTCAGGCATTGCTTTACAAAAGCAACCACTACCACAGTGGCAGAGTGCTGGAAGTGGTGCTTAGTTGGTGTCCATGCCATCACACTCTTCTTGGGGAGGAGAGGGGGCAGAATGTTCCTCGCTGTTCCGGCGCTGATAAAACAGCACATACGCAGCTTTTGTCTACCAAACAAAAAGAGAACCCATCTGAAACCATCCACACAGCTTGGCTGGAATGTCATACCCAAAGCAGGGACCCACACTTTCAGCACAGACTCAGAACAGCCTCAAGCCAAATACTCACCACTATTTGGTCTTCTGAAGCCACCGAGACACTGCTGTCATCAAAGTAGTACCACTTGTCATTCACTTTGTTCTTTGCRTAGGCAGTGTCTGTCAGGAAGAAAACTACAGCTCAGCATTCCGGGAAAGGCTGGCAGGGAACACACACCTGGGACACTTGGAATTCCAACTGCTTGGGTATGGGAAGCCAGGAGTCAGCTTTGGCATCACCTGCCCCAAGCCTAGTTAACCAGCATAAACATCTACAACATGCCAGCTGGCCCAGCTAGTCTAGGACCAGGTTCCACATACCAGGTTTATCCCTGGCAGCTGAGATACATGGAAAAGAAACTTAGGGAAAAAAACAATAGGTTTTGTTCACTGCCCTCAAGTCAGTGACACAGTTTAAGACTGCATTTTCTCTTGAAAGGGAAGTTTGCTGCTGCTGCTGGATCTGATCTACTGCTTGTAAGAGTCCTCATTCAACAACAAAGTTACAAGTCCCTCAAAGTTACAAGTCCCTCAAAGTCTCTTCCAGCCAAGACTTCTGTGACTGTAATCTCCAACCTCAGAACACATGCCCCTGCAGCTAGAGGAGTTTATCATCCTCTCATGGCAAATTGCTTCTGAGTGGTTCTACAAGAGTCACCTCAACCCAGCTCTGCACAGACACCTGGTATGGTGAATTCACCTACAGACATTTTTCATCCACACTGCAGCAAAGCCAGTGACAGAAAACAGACTCATCACATATCAAACTCGTACTGAAGTGTTTTTTTCTCCTGATGAAATTACATTTTCCCAGTGTCAGTCCTTACCAGTGCAAAGGGGGAGACATTCTACAAGTTCAGGTTCAGCATTGAAACATCTTGACTACACTCATAAATCAGGGAAAACCACTGTACACATTAATGACTACTAACCAGGATCCCACACACATCAGACAGACCTCGGGCCAAAGGGCTGCTACCTATCTGCCCTCCATACCCTAACAAGATCCCAAAATGAACTCACCTGCACACACACAAGTCAGTTTTGGACTAGACACCCTTGGTGGGGGCTACTGTAGGTGCCCAATGCACAGAGCCCTCCCGTGACCCCTCTGCCCACACTTCCCTGCACACAAAGGACACAGCAGCAGCTACTCACAGTGGCCCACTCCCATGGCTCCATAGTGATTGGAAACTGCAATGAGGTCATACACATATGAGCCAGCTCTCGGGTCGCAGACAAACTCAGACATGTTCAAACCCCTAGAAGGAAATCCAAAAGTATCAGTACACCAGTAATCAGCACTTTTTAGAAAGTGAAGCATGGCATCAATGAAGCAGCAGTGTCACTCTGCTGCTCGGGGGCCAGGTGTTGTTAGAGTGAAGACCAGACTTGTTAGCCCTCCCACACAGGGCAGGTCCTGCAAACATACCAAGAACTGCCACAAGGTTTAGAGGGAGGTGTTGAATAAAACAGTTTGGAGCATCCCTGTGTAGGCATGAAGAGTGAGATAAGAATAATAAGGGATATACTTCATCCCACAGCAGGATGCTGGCAAGCAGAGGCAGAGGGACAAGGCAGGCTTTCATGTTGTACTTGTGCAATACCCACTACTACAAACGCAGCTCTGCCCAAAATATTTGCTAAAATTGCTATTCAAGTTCTCTTGGTTGAATCCCAGGGGCTTAATTTAATTTCAGATGAAACAGTACCTGCCAGTAATACATCTCTTTGAGATGTATAAAGTTGATTAATATTAACAAAAAMCACTCCCCAAGAAACTAACCATCTCAATTCATGCCTGCTGTCCAAACCCAGAAAACACCTGTTGCAGTCACAGTTTTAATAACGAGCCCACCCAACAGTAACATCAGAAGTACATTTTTCTTGACCAAGTTCTTCASGCTTTTCTCAGCTTGAGGAAAGGATCCTACCTGATAGGGAATTCCACAACAGTGTCAAGTTTATCCCTCCAGTATCTGCTGTATGAGAAGCGYTTCAAATGTACCACCAAAATCCTGGGCAAAGACCACAAATCAAACTTCTTTGTGGCCTGTTGATGTTTCTTACAGTTAGGGCAGTACCTGAGGAAGGAGTAATAAGCAAGGAAATGAATGATTACACTAAAAGAAAAGCTTCTGGCCTTCCATGAAAGATGCCTCACCAGCACAAGCACAGTCCCTGCCTTACAAAAGGCATAGTGGCTGTGGAATGTGCAGTTAAACACACTGCTTCAGAATTCCAAACTCCAACTTGCTTTCATCACCTTATAGGCACAATGTCCTACTGTTAATGCATGTTAACTACACATTGTACAAAAACTAACTTTTAAAAGTAGCTGGATCATTGGAAGCAACATTCCTGCTGACATTTTCCTTAAATACAGGCAGGAAATAAATATTTTTTAATAACTCATATCCACAGCTCATTGAAYCAATTACTTACTACAGATCCAACAGACTTCTCAAAGATGAGGACAAAAGGACAGACCTGGGAAGTTAACCCATGACAAATCATGTGAACTCAAACAGTTATGGCATTTTATGGCAAATATGGCAGGAAGGAAAAGGTTCTTACCATGGGTCATGTTCACCAAGTGTTTCCATAGTAGTGAAGAGCTCTATGCAGTCTCTGAGGGCTACTACAGCCTTCTTCTTCTGTGGTTGTAGCATGCTTCCATGTTTTTCAAATGCCTAGTGAAAGAAATGGGTGCTTTATTCAATTCCATGTACTCTGGAATCCTTGACATCACAAAATTACATGCTCATCTTTCCACTCCACCTATTTCTGCCCCCCTTCCCCACCAAGACAATCATCTCCAGCTTCCAGCCACTCTTTTCTTGTGTCAAAACAGTCCATAAAAGAAAACATATCCTTACTTAGATYTGGAGCTTTTATCAAGACAGTAAAACCAGCTTATTCTGTTACAAAAGATGACCCATCAGAACATTGTTTATTGTCACCTTTTAAACACTGTGCAAGTTTACACACAGATTACTTATGAAAAGAGCATACTACAACCTGTGCCTCCTGTTCATCATAAAGGAGCCTCCGTGTCTCAGAATCCCAGTCAACAGCAACTGCAGAAAAAGCTACAAGAAAAAACAAACATTTATTGCACTGGTGTAAAAAAAGGAAGAAAAATATACCAGCAAAAAAAATAATTACCATTCAGTTTTAAGATTTTTCCTTCAACAATGGAGTTTATCTCCGAGGTCCCAGAGGAATTCACAAGGCTAAAAGTGAAATGCTGTTTCTTGCAAGACTGCAGGTCTCTTGCTGACTCCACATGCATACAACCCTCAGAATGGCAGGGATCAACTTCTGTCAGCTTTTCCTTGCCTTCCTCTCCACCATCCTGATGCTCCATCTCTTCAATGTCTCCTGGAAAATATTCAAAACAAGGACAATATTACAGTGAAAGTTTAGCCTGATGCCTCCCATAGACACCTGTTTGCATCAGCCTGTATGTGGAAAGCAATGAAAAGGCACACTGAAAAAGAAACCTCTGTTTGCTAACCACTCCATCTGAAGTTGTGTTTTTCCCTTCAGCACAWGCCACATCATGTGCTGGATGCTGTATCCCAGAATCAGGCATGATGGCGAGTGCTCAGTTTGCAGTATGTTAACAGCACACCCTAAGAAGAATCCCCAAGAGAGAATCAGCAAGGTTGCAGCTGGGTGTCWTCACATAAAGAAATATATAAGTTGCCAGGAGAGTTATTTGCATTCTTAGGGGAAAATGGGCAGATGTTTTTCCTATTGAACTTATTCCAGCTGTTACCCTCAGGACTACACAAGTGAGTCATTTAAACTGGAAACATACATTTGCCATCAGCATTAAAAGCTTCCTAGTGAACATCTAGCCTAGGAATGAGATGGTGATTCTATGTTCTCCAACAGAAAATACCACTATTTCTCCACAAACTGTCTTGGTGACCATTTCATTACTAAAGGGCACATCAGGAAAAGAGTTGCCTCTGGAGGGAGATAGCTGAATACCTCACAGGTAAGCAAAGACTTCCCTAACACTGGTCAGGATGAAAGCACACCACACCTCATTCTCCAGCTGCTGCTTATGCACATCTGRTCTCCCTGGGAAGGAAATGGTCTGCAAAATTCTCCCTGTACCACACAGATGTCCAGCACAATAGTGCAGTTTAATCATGGGGGAGAAACAATCTGCTAGAGCTTAAGCCAAATACACACAGCACAAACCAAACGCTGWTAGGAAGCTTAAAGTGCTGAAAAGCTTCCAGTAAATTTTGAAAGGGCTTTACCTTCAACTACACCATTGGAGCCATTGCAGGTTCCTCTGTCTGGGCAGGACGGAGAGTATTCTTCTGCCAGAGGGAGTTTCACATAGCGGCTGAAGAGAAGGGATACATTTATCACACAACCATACTSCAGCTGTGCACCAGAACAGCAGCACCCCCCTCTATCGTCCTATCATCGGCTCTTGCTGCCCAATCTCCCTGGCAAACCAGAACCCATCCTGTTCAGCACCATTTACATTTATGTTACAGCACCAAGCACCCTCACAATGAGTCAAACAACAATTCCCTAAGTCATTGCTCTCACTGCTTGCTCCAAGTTTTACTGGCTGTATATTGAAAAGTCAAAAGTAAGTTATGTTGGCCCCACCTGTGAGCCCTGAAAACATGCCCAGAGTTCTGCCCATGCAAGGCGAGACAGCAATATCTGTTACAAAGCCCAAAAACCAGGACCTTGAAATGTCCCTGGGGCCTCCAGACACTAATGCAAWGAAAATCCTGGTTTATACATCCCACACAAAACAATGAAAATTCTCCCTGTTAATAAGGATTCAGTAATCCTATTACAATGTAATTGAATAAGCAACCTCTAGAGTTTGGCATAGAACTCAAAGGTACAGCCATGACTTACCTGATCTGCTCCAAAACCACACTGTACAGGTGATCCACGGTGAGTTTGTGTTTGGGCACAGATATTAACAGTGGCTGCCCAAAGAGCACAGTCCCTGAAGTATTGCTGGATTGCCTCATTGTCTTTTCCCGAAAGTAAATGGAGAGCGTAATATACTCCGAGCCATCCTCAYTTGGCTTGCTAACTTCATACCTGTTTGAAAGAYAGGTATTTGCATGGGTTATTTCCACTGCCAGGAGGTACAGCAGGTAGGACCAACATGAACTCAGTCCAGCMWGTCTCACCAACAGGTACAAAAGGGTTGTACTGTCCTCATGCTACAGTGCAGTTTCCTGAATACTCCCCAGGGCTCACAGCAGCACCAGATACACACCTGCCCCCAACTCACTGCCACCTTCCCTCTGCCTTTATTCCTAATTCAAATCCCTAATACCAATCACCTCCCAAGACACTACCCTGACATCTACACAGTGCTTCAACCAGTGAAAAATACTAATGTACTTTGAAATCCCTCTGACAGTGTGTGTTCCCCTTGCAGAAAGAAATCGTCTTGATACCTTGGGTCTTGCATTCTCCCAGCCTCTCAGTTTTATGGCCAGAGCTCACATCACTGAGCAGATAATGCTTCATAAAGCCAAGAGTTTGGAAACATCTGCTTCACAGAAAAATCCAAGGACAGTAAACAAACAAGAAAAATTCTGGAAGGCAACAAACAGCCTGGGAGAACAGTGAGGAGACTGTGACGCAGCTTGTGCCCTGGGTGAAACAGCAAATGAGGTATTTGCAGCTGTCAGAGGCAAAAGAAACCACGTGGTCCAACACTATCACACTCTTTGCTTCAGGGCTATTCATRACAAAAGATTCATTTTCAGAAATGCCAAGTCACACTGCTCTTTAATTTGGTGAGTTACCTGTCCCAGATTAATCTTAAAACTGAAAGAGAAAGAAAGATTTCATGAAAGATGTCACTACACATAATGACCAAGACCACAATCACATATCTGAATATACCAAACTCCTAACAATTCTCTTACATTAGACAAGTCACTTCCCTTCTCTCAAGAACTGAGAAACATTTTTTATGTCTGTGTTCAGAGCAGGGAAGAGAACAAATTTCAGACCTGTCATTCTGCTCCATCCTACTTAAAACAAAAAAGGATCCCAGCTTGGGGTTTGGACTGAGTTAGTAGAGCACATGAAGGAAAACATCCTTCCAGGGAGTCCCAGCCCACCAGGAACACAAGAGCTYAAAGTCAGCATAAGAGAGTCCAACACCAGCAGCTGCTGGGGCTTTCTAGGCTGTCACTGCTATTCAGCTGACACTAGCACTGCATACAGTTCACACCTCCTAAAGTTTCCTGAGAAACAGCASGACAAAGAGGTGAATTATTTCACCTAGGACTGTTTAAACAACAAAAGGCCATACTCAGTCCCAGAACATAACCTGTGATTAACACCAGTCCTATGAAACCCTTAAAGTGGACTCTGTAACACAGATCATGACACTCCCATGACTGCATCTCCCAACCACTTACACTGTGCTCTGCAAGCAGCAATTAATGAAGTCCCATTTACACCCCACCCTCATGCACCTGAATGAAGCCCTGCCCATGAGATGGAACAGATAGAAAAGGCTATTCCCACAGGCAGGGGTCATCCATCACAAACAGCAAACAGCCAGCATGCAGCACCCCATAATGCAGAAGAGAGCATCTCACACATTTCTCAACACAACAGAACTGGTTACTCAAGTGCCCCTCTACCCACTCCACCTCAGAATACCTCTTTTTACACACTAGTACTAAAAGCAGACATATGAGAATCAAGATCTGTCATTTTTATGATCTCCTCAGCAACAGCTATCACTTGGAAAAARAAAGATCCAAAACCAAAGTATGTATAGTGTAAGGCAGGCTGCAGAGCTGATACTGGAAATTGCTGGACAAYACCCTGTAATTCTGTATGTTACAACTGAAATAACCAAACACGAAGATGATGCTTCTCCAGACTACACAACATGGTTTTAAAAGCCAGAAACATTAGCTGAGCTGCTACCACACTGCCAAGATATTGGCTGGTTGCCTTTATAATTCATGGCAACTCAGAAAAGTGTCAGAAAACTGGTAAGCTAAAGGGTAGGACTTGACCAGTCTTTATCAGTATTGAGGTTCAAGTCTGTGATTTAAGAAAGGAGGCAGTGAATAATAAGATAACTTTTGTTCTATTGCACAGTGAAGTTATGCAAGTGCACAGAAGGATGGAAAGCTATGAAAGACCAGACCTACATGAAAGGACACTGAAAGCAAAAAATACTCTGAGCTAAACACCAGACTAATATACAGTTTGATGTCATTGAAACATTCCTTCACAGGTGGTAGGATCTATGACATTAAGCTGCAAAACACTATGTGGATCATAAGTGAATGTACAGCAAAAACCAAGAATTCTATTTTGAAAGAGAATGGAGAAGAACAGGAAAAAATGCCACTGCAGGAGCTGCCAAACAGATCTGCCTGAATGGGGTTACTACTGCACACCAACCTGGAGATGCTGCTGAGAAAACACAACAGGGACAAAAGYAGACAATAAGAATAAACACAGGATTGAAAAAAAAACTGAGAGAAACTGCTGCATATATTCTGATCTCTTCTAGGAAGTRGAGATACTCCTAACCTGTTTATTTTCTTTCATAATACCAGAACACACACAAACAAGTAAACTAAGAGGACTGCAAACACAACTTTCTTAGACAATGGATATTTGCCCTGCAGAACCTGGTCAAAGGATTYTGCCAGTCTTGCAGAGGAACAAGATCAAAAACAATGAGGGAATTCACACAGGAAGTTTATAGAAGGCTTAAATAAACACAAATTGATTTTGGAAAGGACACAAACCCTCATTTTAAACAAGAAAACCTCAATTTTACCAAGTGTGAACAAACTTCAYAGATCAGTCTGTTACACAGATCTGACACATCTCAAATCTTTCATAMAAAACTACTGGACTAGCTGGTCTGATGACCTCATTAATTCAGTTCAGTAATTACTGTAGCCTCAGTCACATTAACAAACCTGACATCCCTGCAGCCAGTGTTGTTTTTTCAAGAMCATGAACTCATCTAAATGTAATACACAGCATGTTGTAAGAGAAGGTGGAAAACATGGCATGTATGGCAAACTGAATAGACCCTATTCAAATATGCACACTTTTAAAGGTTAAAGGTGACCTGCAAATCAATTTGTGAAACTTTTACCAACATAAACAATACACATTATGTAATATGCCCCATTARCCAGGCTAAGAGAACAGGGGTATCTAGTTTATCCATCAGAACAGTTTTCTTCTTAATTCCTAAGAACCAAGAAGAAATACTAAGAGTAACACCCCTGAAATGGGCTGTGGAGGTTTTTTTTTTCTGTAGTGCTTACCTGAGCCCTTGTAGGCCGGCTCCAAGCTCCAGCAGGATCCCTGGTGATGGGAATTCACCAGCATGGTGAATGTGTGGGTGCTACATTGGAGCGGGAGCCGGAGGTCCTAGTGGGGCAGGGCTTCCCAGAACCTGAGGAAAAGAAATAGCAAGTGTTTGGGTCGTGTGCTGATTGCTGTGCTCTGCTTAGCCTGGGCAATGAGAGCATTCAGCACAAACACTGAACTACTGTCATCAAATTGATTTGCAGACCACCTTTACAGGAGTGATTTCTGATCATCTGCCACAGACCTCCCTGTTCTTCCACAGAACAACATGCTGAGAGAGAATCCATTTCAAAGCTGGGAGAAGTGGGATACTCCYACTTACAGCCATTCTCTGGCTGCACTGCCCTTACACGCTGGGTCAGGGATCTTGTTTCAAGGCTTCKACCAACCCCCTCCATTTCTGCAGCTCAGCTCTTCTCTGATGCTGAATATTAACACATCTTGCACCAGGACTACCTGACAAGCCTGTCAAGATGAGAAGGAGATGAGTGCAAAGCCTTGTGAAAGAACAGGCTTGGACAATTTCAGACCCAAATTCTCCTCCTCTTACAGGTGACTTGGAGAAGAAAATGTATCATTTCATCCTCTTGTGTTAAAGGTGCCAGGTTCATTTTGGGATGCATCTCAGAATTATGTAAAGTCACCTAAATATCAAGAAGCCCAGTAGTATTTGCATTTCTTTTTGAGGTTTTACTATCAGAGATCACAAYAGGTAAGATAATATAGCAGAAGAACTGATAAACCAGAAACTGAGCAGCTCAGGGCGAAAATGTATCTTAGACATCCAGGGCACATCTCTGTTCTCTATACTGAAATCCATTCAGTTTAAGTTCCAAATGGAGTCCAACGCTCACCCCCTTCCTCACTCCCCCAGATTCAGCATTCCCCACCATTTTAGTAAAATTCACAGTACACATCTCAAGATGTGCAAGATGCCCTGCCAAAACCAGAAGACTGAATGTCTCTCCCCTCATAACCCTATGGGGAAAACTAAAAAACACCAGAGTTTTTCCTACACTGAAATAAGCCATTAAAGATGCAAGCTCAATATTCCATACATCCCACATRCTGCACATTTCACCAACAGCACTGTCTGGACTACAATATCTGTGTCTGCAGACCATGTTCTCTGTCAAGAAAATACTCAGAGAAGCCAAGGTCCATTCCAGCTACTCTATTCCTGCTGCAATGTGTTGTGAGAGCTGCTCAGTGACATTTCCAACCAAAGCATTTCAGGGAAATCCATGATCTACTCTCTAATAAACCAACAGAGGCCCAAATTGAAAGCTGACACTTAACAGACATTGGTCTCAAAAGCAAGACACCAGTAAAAAAGTATTCACTTTAATATTTTTTTTTAAATCACAGCCCTGCTGGAGCACGGATCTCCTGCAGTGTTAAGAGTTTTTGAATTCTGAATTGAGATGTGTGTTGCCAGCTGGACAGTGCACAATACAATAAAATCAGAAATCTGTCAAACCACAGGGGTATTGTTGTCACCACAGGCAGGTCTGGCTACTGCTCTCAGCAAAGCAAACCTGCAGAAATATTGTAAGAGAATGACATTTGTATTTAAATTTTTCAGTCCTGAGACAACTTAAGATGATGCTAAGAAACATACATAAGGCAAGAACTACCAGTTTAAGTTACAATCAAATGCTAAAGCTTCAGAACCACTGAAACAGCTGATTTCTGTTACAGAAGACAGCCACAAAGGTGATCACAGGTAGAAGATCTGCTGGACTCTGAGCAATATTGTGTTTAGAGGAGGACAGTGAGAGCAAAGAACAAAGGAACAACTGGATGGCAGCTGCTYRTGAACTCAGTGCCCTGGAGCTTTGTACAGYCCTGTCACTGCCCACTCATTCTTTGGATTCTCAGAGTCCAGCAAACAACCACAAACGATTACTAACGCAACCTTGGTTTGCTTCTGCCAGTGAAGGGAGGAGTGTTTTCCGGTGTGGAAACTGTTACACTTTAAAAAGGATTATTTAAACGGAAGGGTGTGGTCTTCAGTTTATCACAGCTCCTCTTAAAAGTCACTCTGTGACCATCAGGAGGAATAAAAGAAAAGGCTCAAAGAATTGAGCTCAYCTCAATTCAAAGACTAAGCACCAAAACCCTTCAGAAAAAGGCCTCAAAAATCAGTAGGACCCATTGARCCATCTGTAATTTCAAAATTTAAGTTTGGGGAATACACACATATGTTTTGGGGAAATACACATGAGAAATATCCCTGTGAACATGCTGTACTGATTTAACTCTGTTTCGGATAGAATTTTTCCTTTGTTTTCTAAGCAATATCTGGTATAAATATAGCACAAACAAATGTTAGCAGGATTTACTGAATCTTTTTTAGGTTATTTACTTCAATTGTGCATTTTGGGCGAAAATACTGAGACTGTAAAACCCTACACTGTTGTTCTTTCTAATAATAGGCATCTGATCCCCTCCCTCAATTGAAACAAATTTTTCTTTCAAGAACAGCAGAGAGGTGAATCAMTCAATGTAACCAGTGATACATGATACACCCCACAGCTCCATCACCAGTTTTAGGAGCGTCTTTTCCAAACTCAACATTTCATGGACTATGCAGGCATACAGGGCATCCTTCAAGTCATAAGCAGCAAGTCTTTTCCTGCCACTTCTCTAAAGAATTAGCCTTAATATAAGAAGAAAAAAAAACGCTTTTTAGTAACTCCTCTTTATTGACTTTGAGGAAATAAAATGTTTCTCAACATGTCAAGTGGAAACAAGTTAGTTCTTTAAAGGTGGAAGATTCTGAAAGACTTAAATTTCTTTGAATATTTTTTATTCCTCCATTTAATAAACAGCAATATAATTGCCTGTAATCTAATAAGTTAAATAACTTGCTGAAATATCAGAAACTCCTGAAGTTATTGACAGCAGCAACCTGAACAAACCATCACCACATTGCCCAGCCACACATCACACAGCACCTGCWGGAGGGTAGCAAGCCCTGATCTGCAACATCACTGGCCATAACTTCTGCCAGAAACACAACAGCTTCAGCAGCACTTGAGAAGTTCCTGTTCAACTGTAAGATCATCCTTTCTGGAAGAAGCAGAAGGCAGAGATGCACAGCCATGACTACAAGTACACTCCCTAACAAAAAACACTTTTTGAAGCTGGCAGGACAAAAATTAATAGACAGAAACAGAATGGAATTCAAGAACCTTCACACTACTAAGATCATTTCTTAGAACACCTAACAGCAGACTTTTTATAATCAGACGAGGCAGGTAGATTGTCCACACTTAAAGYAATTATGCATTTGCCTTTAAAGAACTTTTCCTTTTTATGGACAAGTGTTTCTCTGCTGRGTTTTTGAGTCAAGACTACCTTTCAATGAAAGAATGCTGGCTTTTTAGATATGTATTACTTCACGTATCTTTTTCCTGGCAGCCTTACCCTTTAAAGGGACCTTCTATAAACAGCTTTTTCCTAATTCTTGCCCTGGTGCTTGGCTGCTTGCTCTTGCCTCTCAGTGCTGAAAAGACCTTGGAGGCTGTACATGGAAAAACAGGATTTGCAAAACTTCCTCCTGCTACCTCTCAGTCTTCCTTGGAAGGCTATTTTTAACCCAAGTCAGCTCCCTCACTGTGACTCACAGCAGCACCTCATTTACAGTTGYCCTGCACATAAAAGGAAGTGGCAATTGCAAAGGAAAATGCACTTGGAGCTGCAGTTCAGCCAAGGCTTCCCCCACACCCCAGAGCAGACCTGATTCAGACATAGCTGYTTTCTGTGGAGGGAATTACAACATGTTATGCCTGTATGAAAGCAGGGCTTTTTTGCAATTACCACTCTAATATCATGCTTCTTGTTTTTGAAATGTTTTACTTGCTGCAGACAGACAGATTTACAAACTAACACTCCACAACACCCTCCCAAACAGATTTCACAGAAGCCAAAYATCCTTCCCAGGCATCCTAACTGGTCACACAAGTGAAGACAACAACATGACAAGAACTTTTACACAACTCCTTTGTTACATCTCAGCAATAAGGTCACAACAGACAGCATGACAGAAGAGCACCAGCATGTCACAGCATCCCACCCAGTGAAAGGTTCACATGGCACCAATGTTACTGGAGGTTTCACACCAACCCAACAATTTCATGGCAGCAATATTCTTGCACTGGAATGTTGTCACATTTCAGCTGCAATAGGGAACACAACCTTTGCTCTCCTCACCTCACCAGATTTCAGAGGTGACTGGAAATCTCACCCACCACACCTATGTAGATCAAGCACAACCAAATCCTCAGCTTTGCTGAAGTTCTTCACAACCACAGTTTAGATACAAACAGTGTTTAGCACCAGTCAGGAGTCTGTGAAGAGCCCCCAGTCATGGTTATCTGGATGCTCTAACAACTTATGATGGATTTTGGAAAGGCAGAGTACAACAGCATAGACTTCACACTCTCCTAGCAACAGCTCCAAGGCTTTTGGCTGATTTGTAAAATGTGAACAACAAGCTTGAGCAAAACTAAAAATGCCGGTGAGAGCGTAACTGTAATCCAGACATAATGATGTCTGAAAGAGGCCTGTTGGAAGTTCTAAACTGCAGAACACAGATCAAACCAAAGTTGAAACCCAGATCTAAACTGCCAAACACAGATCAAACACTTATGACCCAAGGGCCATGACTTCTTGTGTTAGAAAAATACCTACTGAACATTGCACATGCTGATCTGCTGGTAGGAGCAGCGCTGCACCACTGCTAAGTCATGCAAAATGTCTACAGGAAAGGAGGGGACAGGAATCAGATTTTAGAACCTGAAACCAAAGCAAATCTTGCAGTATTCTCCACATGTGGCATTTTCCCACTTTACTCACACAAAGATGTCGTCTTTTGGCATGATATGATTTAAACCTTCATCCATTTGGAAGATTTTGTGGAATCGGTGATTATACACATCTGTCACCACCATCTAGAACAGCAAGTGATATTTGCAAAGTGATTATAGTAGAAGTTTACATAAGTCTAGGCCAACCACCTTTAAATTCAAGCACGTTTATTCCAATTCTCCATCACAATTTTCAGAAYACCAACATCAGTTGTACTTTACTTTTCTGTCCCTTCTGTTAAACTTCTCCACTGCAATGGAACTATCAGAACAACCACCAACAACCAATTCATGCACCTTTTTAATTTTACAAGCAAAGATCAGCATTTTAACTTGTTAGTTTTGTCACTAGCCCATTAAGTTCAGCCTATCATCATATAAAAACAAGGCCACTAAAATGCTTCAAGAAGAACAAACATTTATCAAATTTACTGTCTGCAATTATTCTTACATTTTCTGCAGGAACACCAGAGAGTTTGGAAAGTGATTCACACAGATCCGAGATGGCCCCCATCATTGGCACMACAAGCCGATACTAGAAACAAAGATAACATTATGCTTACACCAGACAAACCCATGCAAGACAGAGAGCAAGAAAGTGGAAAAAAAATCTTAAAACTCTAAAATCTTTAATTTATAGTTCTGCTGAAGTTAAGGTCATAACCACATACTTCAAGGTCTTCTGGATCTCAGCTTTACCTTAGAAAGCAGGGATTTGGAGGGAATGAAAGCCTTGAACAGCTGGCCTTCTGCTGTGATCAGGCTCAGCAGTAATAAAACCCAGAAAAAAATAATCACCAGACACAGCAGCTTGCTCAGAACATAAAATTGTTGTTTCTTTCTGTATTAAAAACATCTTAGAGCCATTCTCTTCACTGCTGCTAAAGGTCGAGACAAAAATCTTGACAGACATGGAAATACTGCCAATCAGTCTCTCCAGAACTGCTTGTGATTCTCTGATGTGTGGCAAGCACAGGGCTACTTTAGGGATGTGTGTATCCCCTTGAMAATTAAGTGTGGGGCAAATTTAAAACAAGTCTATTGAGGAGGCTGAAAAAGCAAACACATCATTTTTCTCTTTTTTTTTCCCAAGAGGAACTGTTTATCAATTCTGTTTGGAACTCAGAAACATTACCCATTCAGGATCACAGAACCACAGAATATGCTGAGTTGGAAGGGACTCACAAGCAYCATGAAGCCCAACTCCTGGCCCTGCACAGGACACCCCAAGAATCCCACCATGTGCCTGAGAGCATTGCCCCAACATTCCTTGAATTCTGTCAGCTTTGGGGCTGTGAGCATTGCCCTGGGGAGTCTTGTTCCAGTGCCCAATCACCCTCTGGGTGAAAAACCTTTTCTTGATATCCAAGCTAAACCTCCCCTGACTCAGCTTCAGGCCATTCATTCCCTGGGGTCCAGTCACTGGTCACAGCAGTAAACAGATCAGTACCTGTCCCCMTGCTTCCCTTTGTGAAGATGCTAAAGACCACAATGAGGTCTCCCTTCAGCCTTCTCCAGCTGAACAAAACCACTGACAACATAAGGCTTCCCCTCCAGATCCTTCATCATCCKCATGGCTCCTTTTGGACAGTGTCTAACAGATCCATGTCTTTTCTATATTGTGATAACCTAAACTAMCCCCAGCACTCAAGGTGAGGTCATCCCAGTGCAGAGCAGAGTGGAACAGTCCCATCCTTTGACAGGCTGGGGATGCTGTGCCTGGTGCAGCCCAAGACACAATACAAGTTACATCTTTACATTTTCCAAGGTAACACAAGGTAAACATGACAGTGCAAACACTCTGCTGTTTTCAGGGAGCAGCACATCACACAAGTCATCTCATACAGGAAACCACTTCCAGCTGACCATGACCCTCTTTTCACAAGCTGAGATTTTACAAAATCACTTGATGCCACATCCCASATTTTTTATTTAAAAAACTCTACTACCGCACTCAAAGGTGGACATCAATGTCCTTTAGATCAAACTTCAAATTACTTTAAGAGGCTCAACTTTAAAACCTAAAAGAAGAACTTGGATGACTTAGAGAAGTTCATGTTTTCAATATGCCTCACCTGGACAGGCCTGCGCTGTGGGTCTGCATACACCAGGGTAACTTCCATGAGACGATCCCTCCTCAAGGGCAGCGGGAGAGTTAAGTAACAGAAGGGATCAAAGGTCACAGAAACTTTAGAGCATTTGGGACAAACAAGGGTAGACTTGAAAAGGCCATGAAAAATATCCACAATGATGGAATCATTCCTCAGCCTATGATTCTCCCATGCCTCTTTTGCCACCTCCTATAAAAAAAATTTTAAAAAAATGTATTAGAAGTTATTTCTTGCAAAGATTTCTACAGCATGGTGAGCACCAGAAGCAAAGAYGACTTGGAAAATTGATACTGATGAATGAATTTCATATGAAAGGGGCTCTACCAGTATGTCCAGCATGAATCACTGGGATTTCTTCTCAGTGAAATGAAGGCCTTATATCAAGTCAAATTTATCTGTTTTAGCTGAGTTTGATCAGGTGTTCATTGGTGCACACAATGCCAGAAGCATGAATGRAGCTGAAGGGACAGTGACAGGGTCACATGCTGCTCTTCAGGACAACCAGATATGCKCCACTCTCCATGACAAATAGCCTGCTGCCTCCTGATTTGGAAAGGCAACTGCACTTACTGCTTCCAAGAAAAAAGCAGAAAGGCTTTTCTTCTTGGGAAATGATGGCCACGTTTCACAAAGGAAGTCCAAAAGGAGACAGATTATAATCCTTGAAGACTTTCATAAGACAACTTGTAAATTCTTATCAAAGGGCATCTGGTAACTGGCATTTGTCTATTCAGTGCAATCAGAGGCTGCTCTTAGCATGAGACTTTCAATCTCAGAAAGAAAACTGAGCACAAAAAAAAATATTGGGCCTCTATCGGGAAAAACCTCATAAGAGAATTACTTTTCTCTATTTAAGCAGAGTGCCACGAGGTATGACAGGATTCTCCTGTGCCAGGGACACTGCACTGCAGGAAGGATGTTTGTGTGGCCTGTGAGCAGGAAGGCCAGGAAGTGCCCCAGAATCCAAATATAAACACCCTGGGAAGCACCACTTGTCCCATCCTCAAGTAAAGGGCATCGTACCGAATCCGGTCTGCCATTGGCATCCTTCAGCTCCAAGTAGGGCTTCTTCTTCACTCTGTTTAAATCCTCATGCAAGCCATCTAGGAGAAAAGCCAAGAGCTCCTGGGAATCCTGCTGCTGGTATCCTGAAAACTGAGGAGCAAATCGCCCAACCTGTGTCTGAAACACAAAGGCAAGAGTGAGGGGATATAAAACACACAGGTCATGGCTTTTGCAGAGATCAGCTCCCCACTACCTTCTGKTGGCAGCAAACCATGGTGAACTGGATGCTAATACAGGGAACGGTGCCAGAACAATTTTCCCAGCTACTTTCAGTATTTCAGCTGAAAGCCACTCTTCACACTAAAGCAATGAGAACATTACACCAATAAACAACGTTCTACACAAGGGGATGCATTTTACTCTTCACTTTACAATTTAATTTTCTAGATTTGTAAGTTGCACACGTTTTCTCACTGATCAAAGTTCACTGCTGGCAATTCATATGACCTTGCCTAGTTTTGCAGGAAAGATCACTCTGAGTCATCTGTAAACAGCTCACAGGCTGGGAGGTCATTTACTAAGCAACATTAATGAGCAGTAACCAACTCTAAGGAATTACACTACTCAATCCTCCCTGTACCCCAAAAAGCATTTATACAAAACATTAAGCACTRGAGCAATTCTGTCCTTACTGCCTTCGTAACATCAAAATATGTGGCAGGCAAGTTAGCTTTCACTGTTTCTTCTCCCAGAGCTGTGCTACAGGAACATGACACACTTACTTTAAACATTCGTGGGGCCACGTGAGACTGTCTCCCTGACCACATCTGTTTAATGAGATCTGCATAGGCTTCTGCAATCTCTCCCCTCATCCCCAGGGGGTTGTTCTGATTTATTTCAGCTTCATATTTATCTTCCAGGAAATAGTCAGTCAGAGGAGGAGTATTGCTCAGGCACTGAAAAAGCATTAAGAAAATTAATTTATTGCATAGGCCAATACATGTRCGTGACAATGAAACAACAAAATCAACTCTGACTTCAGAACATGTACCAACTTAACAAGATTGGTGAAACTTAAGAACATGTTTAGTAAAACAAAAAAACACCAACCCAAAACAAAACAAAACCCAAAACAAACAAATAAAAAACCCAAACAAATAAACAAAAACAGGCAGAAATTTGCATTTGAAAAACTCATATCCAGAAAATTAAAGCCTAATGGTAAATATAAGAAAGTAATTGGTCCTTAACATGAATGGTTTGCATGATAAATTAAGATTGAAGTATGTTTGAATTAAGTCACTTTGACAATAAAAAATTTTARAAGTTTTCTCTTAACTAAGTCCAAGAAAACAAAGTGGCTTAAGGTTACCATGATGCAATTTGAAAATAAAGTCATGTTGAACAAAAAGCAGGGCAGACCAAGTTTATTGTGGTGTCCTGAATACCACATGCATAATGCATTACAGTTATTTTAAGACCTGTTCCAGATTTCAAAGCCATCACAGAGTGACTGAAGTAATTTCACAGCACTGGTACCACACTAGAAGTTTGCCCATTCCTTAAATCAAAGTTCATACAATTTGTCCCATATTTTTTTAACTTCTAAGAAAAAAAACACTCCTAACAAGTTTCTGCATTCTTTAAAATGAACAAAATAATCCTAAGAAATTCAGTTTAAAAGTAAAGAAATAATTATTAGCTTTGCATCACTGTTTCAATCTTAACATCTTGCACAATGACCCTGAACCCTTCCTGTGGCTTTTCATGCTCTTWATTTTTCAAGAGTCTTTAACACAGYCCAGAGCTRCATGCAGTGACCTGCTCATGTCACATCTGCAGCCCACACAAATCAAAACATCCTCCACGTCAGCCYATTTTTGGCAGGGCACAGCACTGGGACCTTATGTGACAGTCAGGCATCTGTTTAATGCAACTTCCCCCTGGCCATTTCAGGTGCCACATACTTCAGATTCGGTCGCTAATACTGTCACATGTTTTGTGGTACTGGTGTGCAAAACGTAAGGCAAACTAAACATGAACTGATTTTTTGACCTGGCTTTTTTTTTTTGGAGGTGTAGTCTYCTCATGGAATCACATTAAAATACTCTTTTCTTTTTACAGATTTTAATCCATTAATTCTGTGAGACTGATCTTTTCTTTAATTCTAATGAGGACTCTTTCTAATTCTTACCTGTAATGCAGAATTCATGAAGCAGGTGTTTCCAAGATTACTGAGTCCACAGAGYCCAGGCTGTGACAGGGAAGCACTGTCCCTGCAGTTGTAAGAGTTACAGACAAACCCAGAACCTCTGGAAAAAAAAGACAGCACAGTGAACTCCACAATGAGTTTGTTGAGTCTCAATACTACTTAAAAGTCACTTCAAATACAAGTCAGAAAACTGTTTACTGAAATTTTTTAACCAGGCTACCTGTTTCTGCTGCTTCATAGGGGCTAATACTGAATAMCAGGAACGTGAAGTATATGTGCTAACTTTGGAAACATTAATCCTTACAAATTCTATTATTAATCTATRGCTCATAACACATTCACTTCCTCTRTCTGTAAGCACACAGCACACTATCCTAATGCAGCAAGAGTCTATATAATACTCTTTTAAGAAATAATATGAAAATTTTGATCTATACCTGGAAAGACTTCAACCACAATGGCAGATAGAGAAAAGAATATAATCCCTTCCCTCATGCCCTGAGTCACCTCAAAAATCAGGCAATGCTCTGGCAGTTAGTAAGCTCTGRAACATGCATATTTTTGCAAGTGAGCAAGGAACAGCAGAAGGCAGTGGTTTCAAAAAGCAGTTTGATAAACAGGTACACAAGGGTAGTAAAACTCCTCTAGAGCACCATCACACTCCTTTTCTACAGAGGCAAGGATGCAYGGGATCACTCACATGAAGGGTGATGAAAGAAAAATAACATTCCTGCTCTTACCCCCTGCCCAGGTGGGAGCTGTTCAGTCCATAGGAGTTACTGCTATCACCATTAGTAATGACAGAAGTGSCAGACACTGAGGAATAAGAACTTGCTGATGATTTTGAAGAGGTAGTAAAGTTTCTGCTAGTTGCAGTGCTTGATCTGGGAGAAAGGAAAAAGAAGTAGAAACAGTGCTACTACTTTTTTTATCCCCAACCCCACCTCCCGCAAAACTCCAAGGTCTTGCTGAGCTACAGTAGTTACCCCACACGGAATTGATTGCTTTGATCTGTTTGATCACACTTCCAAACACTTGTTTGGAACAGAAACATCAGGAAAAAAGTACCAGAAGTAGGAGCAACAATTATTGCTTAAAGGCAAATCTGTAATCCAGATAGAAATAAATAGCAATTCAGACAGTGTGAGTGAGAGGGAAGCAAGCTTTAATTTTATGAGTAAATCCCCGTGAAACAAGCAAGCAAAACTCCCTAAATCTGAAGACCTGCACTCTATCTACATTAAAAAGTGACCAGGTCAATCCTTCCCTACCTGCAACTCAGACCATCTATTCAAACACATTCAAACCAACAAGGCACTAAAATTCAATAGTGTCCTGTCAYAGACAGCTCCATGAAAAAAAAGCAAAACCACATGACAGTACTACATTAATAAGCTTAAATAAACTATTGTGACACTAATTMATTTCTCTTTAGTAAGAGTTGACTAGGATTTAGTCTAATCTCTCCATCTTTGCCCAAATAAACACACAAAAACGAAAGCAAAAAGGTACAGGGCACCAACAGCTACATAGCAGTGGCTATTTCCACCCACCAAACCAGAGCAGAGATCCAGCAGAAGACAGGGCCCTCAAGCTTCAGCTTGCACATTTATTCTTTTTTTAATGTGGCCCTCATTTTCTAGTGATACAAACTAAAAATGCATATTTATAGCTCAGATGGTACTAAAAAAWTGTGCTGGAAAAACTTTGTGGGGCAAAAACTATAAGATAATGAACAAGCCATAATGGCCATGACAGGGCAGAACAGCTGGACAGCCTCAACCGTTTGGAAATACAATAGCAGTTAAATAAACACAGAAGTAAACAACAGGAGCTTCCAGATGAAAAAACCCCAAACAAGTCAAAACCAGAACCACACTAAAAAAACCCCACCAGCTAGCACAACTAAAAAGTGTTGATCCAGTCTAGGATACTGGAAAGTATCCTAGAAAATTAGATCTACCTAAATAACTAAGATAACCAGATTTCTGGGACAATACACAACATTCTGTTATTACAGGTTGGAATTGGAACTTCAAGCTTACCTGGACACCAAGTAAGATCAATAGGAGAACAGAAGGTCTAAACCAAACAACATTATAAGATTCATGYTCATACGTGTGTGTTTCAAGGGTCAAGCATACAATAATTTAGCTAACAACTGYSTGTAAATCCATTAAGTACACATTTTAAATGTTYGATATAKTTAATTACCTAGAAGCAAAGGGGAGCAATCTAGAAAATGCTAGACTAGAAAACTGAGCATCTCTGCTTGACATGTTCGATCTCTCAGAGAGAGAACAGAGAAACTCAAAAAATCATATGAAGRAAATCTATTGGTGGAAATGGAAAAGGAGGACAACCTCCTAAGAGATTTCAAGATTTCCAACAGAAGCACAGAGACAGTGTTTCATCAAGAGCCACATAGCAACTGAAGAGTTCCAAGTACTTCAGCAGCATCCTAACAAACAAAAGAAAACTAAGAATTACAGAGGAAAATAAAAACAGATCAGAAAGTAAAGGTAAGACACAAGACACAGAGTGGGGAAAAGTCTACCAACAAAGTCATCCAGGATCTTGAGCAAATTCCTGACAGAAAACTGCCAAGGTTCATGTAAGTGGCAAAATAACAAGAGAGGCTAACAGCTTTTTATGTGAGGAGATTAAATGAACAAAAATCAAATACGTTTGGGAAGATAAAAAGTTCTACATATTCCTACATTTTACAAGTTACTCATCTATGTGTAATAACTGAAGAAAGGATTTATTAAGGACAGCTGCTTCCCCTCATTTCACAAGATGCTCATAAAGGTAGCCAAGGATTCCAGGTGAAGGGCACAGAGAGCAGCTAATAAAAACACTTTTCTCTGAAAGCTTYCCACTTTAAGCCTGGAAAGTTATTGTTAATGACCTCTCAGCACTGCAGGCTCTCAAGAAGACTGCCTCACTCACACACAGAGGTGTCAACAGAAGACCTGGATGCCAAGTTTTTATGCCCAATGCCACAAAAAGGGTTTCTGTGGAACATGTAGACTTTGATGGGTCAGAGGCATCTGCCCCTTCCACTGCCATCTCTCACAGTATGTGACTTTTGCTCCCTCAGAAATGGAGGCCCCAAGACCTTTCAAGTAAAAGAATGATGTTATATTTTCTTTGAAATTTGTGACTTGGAACTTTCCAAAATGTTCTGGCCTACTCAGCGGGTTACCACTGAAACACCACTTTCACAATACCAAAGCACACTGCCCCTGTCTGCAGGTAAAGACAGCTGCTTTATGCCTTGATACCAAATCTTTCAAAAATCCACACAAATGGTAAGTGAGGAGAAATCTGGAGACAAAATCCGATCAATGTGAATCCATACAGTAGTTAAGTAAAAGAATCTCCTAAGACAAACAACTTGAAAAAATCTTGTAAAAGGCTTTCAAGTGGTTGAAAGACAAGAGAAAAAGTGTTTCAATTCAATTGAGGCCACCTTCAGAACAATCAGTCCTCCTCCTCTACACAGCCAATAATAACACAGGAATTTTGTAACAAAAAGGTTTCATCAGAGCAAGCTAAACTGTGATTTCTACTTAATTGACAAAGCAGAGGCTGTGATGGATGCTCATCTACAAAATTCTTACATGCAAAAGCCTTGATAACTTATGTTACATCCTCAGTGCCCCACTACAAGCTTGGCATCTGCTGCAAACTCCAGCACATCAGTGTCATAGAATAAAGATCTGCACACAAAATATTTAGCTCGATTGCTGAAGGGGTCCTCTGAAATCACACAGTGTCAGCACACACTGCCATGAGTAAACAGAGCAGCTGGAAGCAGAAATAGCAGGAAAATTCTAGCTCAAACCAAAGAACCAAAAGGTATTTTACTGCTGAATATTGGAAAGGGAGAGAGCTACCAGGCAGATGCTAATTACAACTCCACTCCAGTTTCCAAATACAATACCTGAAGAAAAGGTGTTATTTTTATAGATCTAACACAATTTCTTGTTTGCTCTTGAYGAGAAAATTATATCCAGGATAAAAAAATAATACATGCGAGAGCTGAAATGGAGTTCTGCTAGCTCGGGACTTTATTTTGGGAGTCTTGTAAGTAACAAATTAAGAGTACTAAGTTCCACAGAGTCATTGATACTATGTCCCTTCAGAAACAAAGTATACCTCTAATTTTTTAAATTCTCTAAGTATAATCCACTTTCTCTTCTGAAACCCTGTCTAGAAGTAAAAGCAGTTTCAAACTACAGTAAGAAGAAAGTATTTTGTTCTCCACAGAGCAACAAACTAACACACAGCAATGGCCAAGCATAGGCTGAATATACCACCCAAGGACTGCTGCAGAGTTTAAGGGCATTTTTCCTGTAAAATGTCAGCCAGATTGATGGCTCAGGAAACACAAGGATGGCTGCCAAACCCATGGAAAAGCTATTTCCCCTGGTAGGGGGCCAGTGCCTCTGACAAGCAGCAAATGGTGGGGAAAAATCCTGATGACACAGAACCCACCCACCCCATGGTCACTTCGCACACATGCTCTGCAAGTAGGAAGGATACGAACTCCCAGCTTTCCAGAACCTCTTYTGGCACTTGAGCAGTGATGCAGGTGCTCACCATTTCTCTATCAAGAGCAGACAGCCCTACATCCTGTTTGGTTTATGYCATCAAAAGTCTAAATTCAGGAAAAACTCTCTCATAATCTTTCAGTATCATAGTGATGCAGCCCAGAAAAAAACTGCAAATATTGAGTTCCCAAGGCATTTTCTGCAGCTGAGAAACGGAACACTGAAGCAAAGGTTTGCCTGACATAGGATGAAGCACAAGACAAAGTACAAAAGAACAGACAATCCTGTATGTATCACTTAATACAATTCTTTCAGCCACCATCCTCAGCATGCAGTGAAACAATTGCACAAGTTTCATGTTATAATAAACAAATTTTTTGTCATTAGAAAATATTAACTACCAATAAAAACTTTCATTTATGTATCACTACAGGTTTAACCAAAGTCTTTACATATCAGACTAGCTGCTGACAAAGGACAGCTCTGAGGCCTGAGAATGCTACACAATTCCATTTTAGCTTTGCTTCATGTGGAAACAAAAGGTTATGATCTGGTCTTGCACAGCTGCCTCTCCCATAGTGAYTGTCAACCAGGTACATGATACCAATGTTCACCTGCTTTTCACATGATACTCCTACAGAATGTTCACTGTAATCCCATAGGCATTCTCTTTRTTTACACAATATGATCTCTCCAAGTATTGTTTCAAAACAGATTTCACTGATCTATCTAATCAATTCTTCAACTTTAACACTATCTTGATTTCAAATGAGATCACTAGGCAGTAAGTTCTGTAAGTTAACTGTTCTGTACAGAAAAGTATTTGCTTTATCAGTACCAAGTCTGATGGCCCCTGGGATGGAACCGAGTAGGCCATCAGACAAGAAAAATCATTAAATTTTACTTTCTGTAGTAGCATTTGATATGAGCAGTTCCTTATCACTGAAAGCAGCATCCATTCTACACTATTCACTCCATACACTCAGTATTTCATCAAGCCCTGCAATTATCCATCTCTTCTCTAAATCAGACAGCACTGTGAGATTCTGTATCATATTTACAGGCTTCTATAACTGTCTCTGGTGGGGTGTGGGGGGATGGTCAGGTATTTCTATACCCTTTTTAAGCAGAACTACCAGAACTCTGAGCATTCACTACTGGCAAGTTTAGAAATACCCTCCTAGATCCTTTGTTTTCTACAACAGTGAAAGACAGATTATTTGTGCACTGTGCAGTGTGCAGGCATAGCTTTTTAAGTAGACTAGTTCAACGCAAATAGCACTTTTGTCTCCTAAGCACTACAGAAACCCTAAGCTATTTAATCCTCACACAACCTGCATGAAAACAGGCTTTAAAACACAGACTCTTGCTAAGACACAAAACCAGCAGCAGGACCACTGAAGAATATTTACATTCAAGATTTTCTCTCCTTCAAAATAACCAAAACAAGCAAGCCACAACAGCCAGTGATAACCAGGCTTTCACACAGAACATGTGGACACTAAAGCCTAGCAAACAAGCTGCACAAAGTAACAGAAACCTTTAGAAAATGCTTGCTTACTTTGCTAGGCAATGCTGTCCAGGCCACGTGCCATCTTCATTTTTCACTTCTATTAAAACAACCTGAAAGAGAGAACAGGTAATAAAGGTAACTGCAAGTCTGTTACACATTTTGCAAAAGCATTAGCAAATCCCATTGTCAATGTTTGCTCAAAGTACATAAAAGCAAGTGAAAAAAAATACACATCAGCAAAAGCACTACATGAGACCAAAAAAGAAAAAAAAAAAA